GCGACGAGGAGAGACAGAAAAACCTCTGGTTACCTTGACCTCGAATCTCACTTCCATGCAGACGACAGGGTCAGGATCTGACCCTCGGGCGTTGATTGGTTGATATTTTTTCAAACGCGCAAACCAATTTGATTGGCTCGTTTAATTGTAACTACCGAGGGGACGCTGAGGATTTTCACACCTCATTTTGCCTCTCTCTACTAGGGAAGAAAATTGTTTGTATGCTTCACTCGCAATAACATTTGCACGGGACCAAGGCACGTAGAGGCACGCTATGGATGTTGTTCCTGAAAGAATATTCGAAGAAATTTTGACCTCGGTACTTAATGAGCGCTTTCCCGAGTCTCACTGAGCAACAAAAGAAAGCTTTGTTCGCTGCGTTGAGTCGAAAGGATGTGTTCACCATTTTATCAACTGGACATGGAAAGTATATTTTCTGTTACAATACTGTCATTCCATTAAATAAACTAACTTGTTTAGGGCAGCAAAATAAAAAGTCTCCGAATACGGAATGAAAGTTTCCTTGTAGGAAAAAAAAACATACAACTTTGTACAAGTGCGTAATCATTTTCGGTGCAGCTTGATTTCCCTGCGACGCCCAAAAAAGATCTAACCGACGCTATTTTTGGCATAGACCTATTCGGTTAACTCAATGTTGTACCCAATTCAAATCTCCCGGGGATAAGATTCTTTGTGTATTGCACTTGCATTATAATGTGGTATTCACATTTAAATGATATGGAAATTCCTGAAACAAAACGTTTTATTCCCAAAGGGTTTGAATTGGGTACATTGAGTTAGCCGAATAGGTCTATTGGGCCAACAAAAACCTCTGAAAGTACATTCCGAACCTTAAGGGTTTGTTGTGCTGCATGACTCTTCCTAGCGTCGCTGTTCCACAAAAAAAGGAAATGTAGCAACCAAACCAAAATGCGACCCAGATTGCCAGAATACATATTAATATTACTATTTTCAGGGGAATGCCCGCGCATCGACGCGAACGGCGCGCCCCGCAAAAGTAAACAATGTAATAAGCGCGATTGATAGACTCTTGCAAACTTTACAACTTCCCGCTGGCACACTGCCGACAGAACAGATGACAATGTTTGTGAAAAATCCTTGTTATTATACCCAAATAAATTCTGCAAATCCTGCAGCATTCGTTTGGAACAATGTCGGTTTCTTTATAAAGTGGTCTTCTTATTCCTGGACTCTTGTCGCCCATTGTTAACACATGCTTTAGCTTGACCCCGATTAACAAATCACTCTTTACCACCCAAGTGAAGATGGTTTGTTCATAACATAATTTCCCCAGGTCTACCCCCACTTAAAAAAATAGCGGCTGATAAGCACGTGTTTGCTAAGTTGCCATTGGTCACTCTTTTTATTAGCAATTTGACGCGTTTGACAGCTGTCGTCTGCATGGAAGTGAGATTCGAGGTCAAGGTAACCAGAGGTTTTTCTCTCTCTCCTCGTCGCTTACGCGACTCGTTGTCGCCGCTTCGCGGCTTGCTGTTGATTTCTTTCGCCAAGAAAAATCAAGAAAAACCTCTGGGACCAGGGTAGATTTGTTGATGATAGACCACATAAAACAGCTAGCCTTTGTGAGTTGGGGAGGTGAGGAGTGGATGCCACCCTTTTTTCCGACGTCATTTCGCGGGGAAACCAGTGGTGGCTTTGCCAAATGTCGGCTGTTTTCCCAGGCTAAGAATCAACACGTTTTTCTCCAAAAAAGTGACATGCGCCTTCTCAAAATATTTCGGTGAGGTAATTCTTAAAATAGCATTTCTTATGGAATATCCGAGCTTTTTTGTTAAACCTTGGGAATTCTTCGCTAGTGATAATAATATCGCGGTTCTATCTTAAAACTTTTTTCCTTTTTTTTTTCAATTATGTCAAATCTTGCTCTTTTGCATTCCTCTGTAGGAGTAGTCTCCCACGCAGCCGTTCTTATCTTGTCACGCAACCCGCTTCTCCAGCAAGGGGGAAGCGTTGCGAGACGAGACAAAAACGGCTTTGAGGGAGACTACTGTAAGGGTTATTTCTGCTTATTTAGCCGTACGTCTTCCCGATAGAGAGTTATCATCATAACTAACATTTTTCTGGTTGGTGTGACTGTCCATTGTCAGGTCATCGTCAACCACATGATCAACGGAGTACAACACTCACATGACTCGTGAGATACATCAATCACGTGACTAAAGGAAATGTGACAGCATCAACATATAGTTGTATCATTTACTGACCAAGTTTAAACTTCAACATGAAGCGAAGAGAAACCTCAAAAGCGACCCATCCTCCTATCTATTGAAGAAGGTACTGAAAAAAGTGCCAATGATGGCTTGAGAGACGTCTTTATTCAATGGATGTGAAACGGCACACACACATAGCGGGTGTATATATAAATGCGAAATTTGCAATATATTCACACTGTAGTTATAAGAAAAATTTAGCCATAAAGTCGCTTTGTATATTCTACAAACCGAGAATTTAGCCATTAATTAACGGCTAAATATTTTCCTTTTTATAGAAATTATTTAGCCATTAATTAACGGCTAAACATTTCCTCTATATATGTAGTAAGTGAGAATTAGCCATTAAATAACGGCTAAATATTCCTCCTATATATGTAGAGTAGGTAAAATTTAGCCATTAATTAACGGCTAAACATTTCCTATATATAAGGAGAAGGTTACACTTAGCCATTATTTAACGGCTAAATATTCCTTGTATGTAAAGAGTAGTATAGTAAAATGGGGGTCCCATCTCAAAACACAATTGATCTAAAGATTTCAACTCAAAACACAATTGATCTAAAATCCTGCACAAATAATGATAAGGATTTAACACATAACATTTCTAATAAAAATATAAATCACAAATTTCCAGATTATGTAAAGCCATTCTTAAAACAATATATTTGTTTATTAGGCCTTAACGATAATTTTGGCCATATTCATAAATATTTAGACTATGAAAATATAAAAAAAGGAGATTTGAAAAAACAAGAAAAATTTCTCCAAAGTTTGTGTTTTTTTATTGGAAAATATGGAGAAGCTGTAAAATCTGGATTTTTTAAAGATTTATCTGAGGAAGAATTGACACTTGATGTTTTTGATAATATTGATGATATTGAAAAGACAATTGATGAATATTTGGAAAGATATTTGGAGACTGCTGTAGAATACGATGAAGAATTTGAATGTCACAATTGCGTTCTTAAAATAAATAAAAAAAAATATGAAAAAAAAAGTTGACAAGGATTATCCAGGGCTAAGAAAACTTGTTGATACTTTAAGACAGTATAATGAAACATTCCACTATGAAAAAATTTACAAATATAATGAAGAAATAAATCAGCCTTTGTCTTTAAATTATAGCGACGACGACGACGACGACGACGATAGTGAAAGTGATAATGATGATTATTTAAACAGGGAAGAACTAAGAGATTATTTATATATAAAGGAAGGAGTTTATAGTGATAGTGAATACGAGTATGACTGTGATACTGATAGTGATGAATATAATTTAGAAAGTGACAGTGATAGTGATTAGAATATTATATTGTTAATTAATCTTTTGATTATAGACTTTAATGCCCTTTTTTAAAATTGATTTAAAAATATATAATCATTTTATAAAGGGACATTATGGCCTACCAATCAACCGATGGTGATTTTGATCATAATCAAGAAAAACTTGATTATGACGAGATAAAACAAAAACAAGAAGATAAAAGTATTCAAGATTATTATGATAAACTTGAATACGATCAATTAAAATTACTAGAAGAGTATGAAAAACAAAGACTAAAACAAAATTATGAAAAATATAACAAAAAACAACAGATAATTAAAAATATAAAAAAATTACAAAAAATTAACGAAAAGATGGAAAAAAATATTCCTTTGAAAGAAAGTGAAAAACCAAAAAGGTTAAGAAAAGAAAAGGAAGAAAAGAAAGAAAAGAAGAAGATTAAGATTAAATCATTTGAGGAGTATTTTGAGCAATGTATAAAAAATAAAAAGATTCCACCAGATACTCCTTCTTACTTTCGTAAAGCTCTTGAAAGAGCTATCATTGAACATGATCAAGGAATTATAAAGGAAAAATCATCTGTAGAAAATTTTGCCAATAAGTATGTCATAGAAGGCGAACACGGTTTTACACCAATGGAATTTTTTAAAAATAATGCTAAAAAATTAAAAGACTTTTTAAGAAATAATAAGAATATTAAGTTAAGAATGGTTTTAGTTAGTTTAATGGAAAAACAACTAATGGATAAAGAGCGAATAAGTGGAATAGTTGAGGATAAAGCATATTTTAATTCTGAAACAAATATTAATCTTGAATCAACAGATGAAAAAAGAATACTTGCTTCAGATATTAGACGTATTACAAATGACATTGACAAATATCAACAAAATGGAAGTGGATGGTATTTTAAAGAAATAGTTGGTCTTGAAATACATACTGCTGAATATAAACCAATGAATGGATCATCTTACATTCCTCTTCCAGAATGGATAAGTAAAAAAAGAGCAATAGTTAATATACAAAACAGAGATGAAAAATGCTTTCTTTGGTGTGTACTAAGATATATTTATCCAAGAGAGCAAAATGATGCGCGATTAACTGATTTGAAAAAGTATGAGTATAGTCTTAACACCAGAGGAATTAATTTTCCTATGAAAATAAAAGATATATCCAAATTTGAAAAACTTAATCCAGAACTCCCAGGGATAAATGATTTTTCAGTAAGTGATAACAACAAGTTTTATCCCTTAAGAATGGCGGAAAAAGATTGCCAAAATACAATAGATTTATTTTTACATGAAGAAGATGGTAAATCACATTATTCTTTTATAAAAAACTTTAATCGTTTGCTTAGAACACAAATAACTTCAAGTAAGAATGGTGAAGTATTTATTTGTAAAAAATGTTTTACTCATTACACTAAAAATGAATTATTAGAAAAACATATTTTATACTGTTCAAGCAATGAAACAGTTTCTGTTAAAATGCCGCCAAGAAAAACAAAATTATCTTTTAATAATCACAACAAAAAATTTCCAATTCCTTTTGTTGTTTATGCTGATTTTGAATGTTTTACTAAACCAATGAGTAATTGTTGCCCAAATCCAGAAAATTCTTACTCTTATAATTATCAAAAACATGAACCATCAGGATTTTGCATCTATATCAAAGGATTAAATCCTAACATAAATTTTAAACCTATTCTTTACACTAAAAAAAAACGAAGATGATAATGTTCCTGAAAAGTTTGTTTCTAAAATAGCATGGATAACAAATAAATTATACAATGATTACTACTGACAACCAATGCCTCTTAGATTAACAGCAAAAGAAGAAAAAGAATTTCATAAAGCGGAGTTATGTCATATTTGTGAAAAAGAATTTTATGAAGATGATTCAACTGCAAAAATGTTAAAAGTTAGAGATCATTGTCATTTTACTGGTCAATACCGTGGAGCTGCACATAACAGTTGTAACCTACAATGTAAAAAGCCAATGATACTTCCAGTAGTATTTCATAATCTTCAAGGATATGATGCTCATTTGTTTATTAAAGAGTTGTCTAAAATACCAGGCGAACTTAATTGTATTCCTTCAACCGAAGAAAAATATATTTCATTTTCCAAAAAAATTAAAGTTGGTGAGTATAAATCAAAAAAAACTGGAGAAACAGTTTCACTATGTTTTGAAATAAGATTTATTGACTCATTTAAGTTTCTTCAAACTAGCCTTGCTAATCTTGTTGGAAATTTACAACCAGATAATTTTATTAATACAAAAGAAGTATTTAAAGATCCAAATCTTTTAGATTTATTAACTCGTAAAGGAGTTTACCCATATGATTACGTTTCATCAATTGAAAAACTATCTGAAACACAATTACCCCCAAAAGAGGAATTCTATTCTCGCCTTAATGACGAAGATATATCAGATGAAGATTATCATCATGCTATTCGCGTATGGAATAAATTTAATTGTAAAACAATAAGAGATTATCACAATCTTTACCTAAAGTCCGACGTCCTTCTTTTATCAGATGTATTTGAAAACTTTTGAGCAACTTTTCTCAAACATTACAATCTAGATCCAGCACATTATTATACATCTCCCGGATTAGCTTGGGATGCATGTCTCAAAGAAACAGGTCAGGAATTACAGTTACTACATGATTATGATATGCTTATGTTGTTTGAACGTGGTATACGTGGAGGAATAACTCACATATCCATGCGCTATGCAGAAGCGAATAATAAATACATGGCTGATTACGATCATGATCAACCTTCAAATTATATTCAATATCTCGATGCCAACAATCTTTATGGATGGGCAATGTCACAACCACTTCCAACACATGATTTTAAATGGTTGCATGATTTAACAATCGACTCTGTAATTAATATTCTTGAACACCCAAAGAAAAATAAAGGATATATATTTGAAGTTGATTTGGTTTACCCACCCAAATTATGGAAATCACATAATGATTATCCTCTTGCCCCAGAAAAGATAAATGTTGATGGAACAGAAAAACTAATTAGTCATTTTAAACCAAGGTCCAAATATGTAGTACATTATCGAAATCTCAAACAATATCTTGAAATGGGAATGAGACTAACTGATGTCCATAGAGGAATATCATTTTATGAAACCCCTTGGATGAAACCTTATATTACAAAAAATACAGAACTAAGAAAAACTGCTGCAAACAGCTTTGAAAAAGACTTTTTTAAACTGATGAATAATTCTGTATTTGGAAAAACAATAGAAAACATAAGAAAACGACAAAATATAATACTTGTTGATGATCGTAAAAAAGCGGTAAAACTAACAACGCGTCCGAACTTTGATCGAGTAACAATATTTGATAGCAAACTTGTTGCAGTTCATATGAAAAAAACTGAAGTATACTTTAACAAACCAGTTTACGTTGGACAGGCCATTCTGGATTTGTCAAAAACACTTATGTTTGATTTTCATTATGATTACATTCGAGATAAGTACAATGACAGGGCTGAGTTGTTGTTTACGGATACTGATTCACTTTTATACCTTATCCATACGGATGATTTTTATAGGGATATAGCTCATGATATAGAAGACAAATTTGACACATCAGATTATCCACCAGATCATAAATCTGGAATACTAACAGGAGTTAATAAAAAGTAATTGGGATGTTTAAAGATGAAGTAGCAGGAAAACAAATTACTCACTTTGTTGGCCTTCGTCCGAAGCTTTATAGTTTTAAGGTTGAAGATGATAAAGTTGTTAAGAAGTGTAAAGGAATAAAAAAGAATGTTGTTAAAAATGGAATCACATTTGATGATTATATCAGATGTTTATTTTCTGGTGAAAAACAGATGAAGTCGATGAAAATTATAAGAAGTGAAAACCATGATATTTACTCAAAGGAAATAAATAAAATTGCTTTAAGTTCAAATGATGATAAACGTGAAGTAATGGAAGATAAAATACACACTTTAGCTCTAAGATGAAATTAAACAAAATGACTTTAAGTTATTTAACAATAAAATAAATGGCTTACACAAAAGAGCAGATAAAAGAATATACAGAAATATTTTTAAAATATAAAAAACAATTAGAGGAGCCACTTTTAAAAGAAAAAAAAATTTACACAGCTTGTGTTAACCCTGATTGTATTACAAACCAGCATGAGCCGCAACCCCCCGAATTTTATATTGAATCAGGTTTTTACATGTGTGAATCATGTGATTCGCTTAATGGTCATGCTCTTGGTTATTATGATCTGAAAGAGTACGATCGATTTCACTATCGTAAAAAGAGTATTTACCAGAGAAAGTACCATTATGAAAATAAAGTAAAAAATATCTCAAAAAGGTTAGCATTAACTGATGATGAGCAGTACTGTTTATACAATAAACTAATGGAAATAGAAGAAAAAACTATTTAACGAAATAAATGAACATTTTAATCGCAAAAGAATGATAAGTGTTTTTTACCTAATCAAAAAACTTCTCCAAGAAGAAATGGGTTGTGAAAAATATAAACAGATCGGACTTATGCTTTCTAAAGAAACATTTGCCAATTATGAAAAGTGGTGGGAATATTATAAAAAAGCAGCAGGGGGTTTTGGGGGATGCAATCCCCCAGGGGAATATTATAAAAATGAATTTAAAGAAAATAAAAGTATTGATTAATAATCATGCTGGAAAAAAGGTTTAATAATGCGAAATTAGGAATCGAATTGACATCATATGTTGATAATAAGCAAAATATTTGGTTTCAAGGAAAAGATGTTGCTAAGATCCTTGGTTATAGTGATACTGCACAGGCTATTAGAAAACATGTTGATGAGCAGGATAAATATAAAGGGGGCGTCGAAACGACGGGGGGTTTACAACAATCATTTTATATAAATGAATCTGGTTTTTACTCCCTTGTATTATCATCAAAATTAGAAACCGCTAAAAAGTTCAAAAAATGGGTAACCTCTCAAGTTCTCCCATCTATTCGTAAATACGGTTACTACAAACTTTTTGACAACCCAAATAATAAAATGTTTAAGATTGCAAATGAGATGGATCTTCACTGTAAAGTTGTTCAACTAATAAGGTGTTATTATCCGGATGTTATTATGGTAGCCGGACTTGGGGAAAACCAAGATACAGCATACAAAAGAATTATAAGTTGGAAAAAAGGTTATCTACGTGGACAGCCAGATCTTATGATACTTAATAATCATAAGGATTTTAATGGTTTATGTATTGAGTTTAAATCGCCAACTAATAAATATCAAATTTCAGATGCACAAAAACAAATGAAAGAAAGATATAAGGAAAATTGTTACAAATTTATTCTTAGTAATGATTACGATGATATATGTATGCAATTACATAAATACATGGCTGGCGTTCGTATTCCATGTAAATATTGCACAAAAGCATTCCTTAATAAAGAAACATTAGAAAAACATTATAACATTATCCATCGAATTGAGAAAAACATCTAATTTCTATATTTACAAATATAGAAATTAAAAGGAAAACCGTAGCCAAGGGATCAGCAGGGGCTGAACTTTTTATTATACTTTTTAACAAATCTATCTGCTAGAGGAGTCTGATCAATTATCATTTCATCTATCAACTTCATACGATCGATAAAATCTTGTTTACTCCAGTCATCTCCTCTCAGAGCTGATCTCAATTCTACAAGAACTTTTTCATACGTCGTAAATGCAATTTGCGCCATTTCCATTTTTTTCTTATAATTCTTCATTTTTGAAATACTTGCAACTAGCACCCCAGCGCCGTTTATCGCACCGAGTATTATTGGGTTAAGTGTTATTCCACCCGCCATAGTTCCCACCACTACTAATCCTCCTCCAGAAAGTGTAAGTGTTTCATCAAGCAGTTTATATCTCTTGTACGACCGCTTAAAACACCAGTATTTCTTATGATAATGGCTGTAAAAATCTTTTAGTGTTTTAATATTTGATTCTGTCAAATTTTTATCAATATGATTAAATTCAAAGATGTCTTTCATTTTAATAAATTATTATATTAATGATCCCACCAGCAGGGGGGTGGAGGATTGAGTGTCCAGTAAATGAGCCCGGTTAAATTACCGAGAAAAGAACATTGTTTAAAAGGCGAATCAAATACATAAACTTTACCTCGCCCCTTTCCATATTTATTCCATATTTCATTAAAAGCCCAACTGAATATTTGATGAACAGCGGCAATTGATAGTGTCGGAGGAAACGCATTTTTGCAATCATCGAGAATAAGCATTATATAATCCAAAGTGGCATTTTTATTTAAATAATGTGCGAGAAGAAACTGATAAACAAGACAAAATCTGATAAAATTAGGATTAATATCATCGCGTTTATAACGAGGAAAATAGTGATTAACATACTCAACAATATTTTGCAACATTTTATATATTAACATATATTATTTAAGTAGTAACTTTTTTTCAGGGGGTTTTATTCTTTGTGCGGCGTAGCTAAGGGAGGGGGTCATAGGGGGAACCGTAGGTTCCCCTATACTATATAAGATCCATTTAACTTTTCTTGAAGCATTACTTTGTGAAATTGAATAGAGTCAAAGTCGTAAAAGTTTGGAGAATACATTAATTTATTTAACACTCCATCTTCAGTTGTAAACTTCCAACGTTGATTAACATTGTAGTGAACAGCCGGTATAGTTATTGTTCCGCTATAGTTACTTATTTTAACTTTTGTGACATCTGAATCAAAATTTTCTGTTAGCCATAAAACAATTCTTTTTCCATTAAAACTACTTGGCATGGTAAAACTTAGAGTTATTTTATTCAGATTTAATTTTACTAAATTGTTTGTTTTGTCATAATTTAATTTTACTAAAATATTATTGTTTGTTGACATATATTTAGTTAGGGTAAAATTCCTATTTTTCCAATGAGTAAAAACAATACATAAAGTAGATTTGGAAGAATGCGAGGGAGAAAAAGTAATATCATAGCCATTAACATTTAAGCCATCTTCTCTTATTCTACTTAGGTCTTTATCGGGTAGTGAAATATTAGGTTTTAAAGAATTGAAAACAACTCCATATACACCCATACTTAATCTATAAATATTCGCATCAGTAAATTCATAGAATTCACTAAAGTATAATCTGTGAATAGCGTTTGCGGTGTAAGGAGCTAGTTCTTTTACTAATGCAACTGTTGCAGCACTATTGTCATTTTGTCGCTCAAGTTTGATATTTCTTATTGCTTTTTGATTTGCGTTGATGTTGACATTGTACACCACTTGGGTTGGTGAAATATCAAATGCGGTGTGATAGTCGTAAACTTTATCCGGATCGATATTGCTAAATGTTCCCACAATTCCATAAGTAATTATATAAACTCCCAGAAACTGTCTCGGATACACAGCCAAGTCAGTTCCATCTTGTGGTATATTAACCAAAATGTGAAGAAAGAATCTATTTCCAGTTGACAACTTCTTGAAATTAACTATTATTCTGTGATAATACATAAATGCTGGTTGTCCATTTGATTGTGTGTACCTATGAGATAGTTTCCTTACACTTTCATTTTCAATTGATAATCCTGTTGAAGTTCCTTTGTCTACACTTATTTGAGACTTATGCCACAGTTGATAATCAGTGTTGAGTATTTCCAAACACAGTGTGTATTCGGTATTTGCAGTTAACCTGTAAAAGTTGATTCCCATTTTGTACTTATACCCACCTTGGGAATTTTTGTATATAGTCGTATAAAGAACTTTGTGATTATAATCGTGAAAGTTGCCTTTACTAGGTGCTAAGTCATCTATCTTTGTTATATTAAAGGAGTTTCCTCCATCTATTTCATCCGTCCATTGATCCGAACTTGACATAAGATAAGCAAACTGGTTGTTGTAATGACTTGGTTGAACTGCAGTGTGATGAACTAGTTTGTCAGTGTAATCTTTAGTTACCGCATCATTGACTTGAGTTGGCTTACTAAGATTTATTATTTTATTATTACCAACATTAAGGTTTCCAGTCATAGCGACAGTACCATCTTTTTCCAAATAATCACTCAAATCTGGGGCACCTGTGTTATCATCCACATATTTCTTTGTTGCAGCATCTGTGTTTGATGTTGGAGCTGCGAGACCAACTATTTTTTTGTTTCCAAGATTTAGGTTATTAGTCATTGATACACTTCCATCTTTTTTTATAAAAGAACTAGTATCAGGTATTGAGTCATCCACATACTTTTTGGTTGTTGCATCTGTGTTTGATGTTGGTGGTCTAAGGTTAATTATTTTTTTATTATCCATGTTTAGATTATTAGTCATTGCAGATGAACCATCACGGGCAACATACTTTAAATCTGTAAAAGCTAATGGTGTTGGTTGATTACCTCCATTTGGAGCTGGTAGATTAAATATTCGATTATTAGCCATATTGAGATTACCTTTCATTGGGTATGAGCCATCTCTGTCAAGAAATGTGTTGTCTACGTATTCTTTTGTGGGCGGTTCTTTTCCGTCCAGTGGTGTGCTAAGATTTGTAATTCGGTATGTATTTTTCATATCAATGTTTGAATCAACTGACAATCGCGATGTTGCACTGGATTTATCATCCACATACTTTTTGTTTGCTGCGTCATCATTAGCTGTTGGTGCGCCAACTTTAATTATTTTATTATTATTCATGCTTAGAGTGCCAATCATTGTTCGGGAACCATTTCTATCAAGAAATCTGCTGTCTGAGTATTGTTTTGTAGCCGGTTCATCCGCGTCAACCGGATGTTTGAGGTTAAGAATACGATATCTATCCTTCATATTTATATTTGAATCAACTGTTAATCGTGATGTTGCGGGTGATCCACCTCCAGAATTATCATCAACATATTTTTTTGTAGCAGCATCAGTATTATTACTGGGTGCTCCTACATTTGTGAGTTTTTTTCCACTTATATCATAATTTCCATCTGCGGTTAGACTAAAACCAACTCCTGGAGCGCCCTGAATTCCTTTAGCAAAGGGATGATCAAAAGATTGCTCGTTAAATATTCCCATCTACATTATGTTTATAGTATTTTATTAAAGGGGGGCAGTAAAGTTTTTTGCAATACGTTTTTTTGGTTTATCAATGTATAGAAATGAATAAGGTTTTTTAGTTGCCGTTTTATAATCTTCTTTTTTAACTCCCAACTCAGATGATATCCTATTGGATTCCCTCGATGATGGAAATTGGTAAAGGCAGTAGTGAGAGCAGTTTAAACGAATATCTTTAGGCGTTTTATAAAAAGATTGACTGAGGTAGATTACAGAGCAATTCTTATGTCGACCCTGAATAAAATAATCAATCAGTTGTCTCTGGTTTTTATCACAAACGTAGTCATCGAATATCACAAGTTTTTGATTGTCTTCGTAATCCATTTCTGTAACCGGGGTTATTTCGTCGTTACTCGCATGAAGTATTTCATAACCGAGTTGGCTACTCATTTCTCTCATTTTCTGAATTAACTTTTGATACTTATCCTGCTCTAAATTTCGCGCGTAAAGATAAATCTCATCATAGTACAACAGCGGTTTAATTAACATGTGATATAACAGATTAGTTTTTCCACTTCCACTGTTTCCACAAATTAACATCCGAAATGTATCTGATGGCATGTAAGGAAACAACTGTTTATATTTTTTATCTGGGTTGTCATTGGTATCATAGTTTGGTATTTCCATTTATATAAAAGTTACATAATATCCTCTCACGTAGGTTCCCTTAATATAATAAATAGATAAATGGATATTGAAGAACACAAAAAACTTGCAAAAAATAAACTTGAAGCTGATGCTTTGGTACGACAGGTGAGAGATGTTATAAAAACAACAAAATGGCAAAAACAAGATGCCCGGGAAGGTTTTAAAGAATCATTTCAACCTTTAGTTTCTCAGTTTGAAAAACCTGAGGACCCAAAAGCAACTAATATTTTCACTCAAAATCAAAAAATAATAGAAAATCAAATCCAAGCGATTAAAGATAAAAAAAACAAAATAAATGTTAGAAAAGAAATTGCTAAATCTTTACAAAGACTTGCTGATATGGGAGAAGTTTCAACTTTACCTAAAAAACCTGAAGAATTAGACCCATGGTATAAAACATGGGCACCAGATCAAGAAGACTCAGATCAAGAAACTTGAAAAAAATATAGAAGACAAATTGCTGTAAATTATATGGAGGAAAAATTTAATGGAGAAGAACTTGAAATGTTAAAATTTTACGGCCTCACATTACCAAGGGATTTTACTTTAACTAATGTAAAAACTTTGGAAAACCAATACCAAAATTTAAATGATAATATTAAGGAATTAAATGGGCGAATTTTAGGAAGAAAAAATACTAAAAAACCATCACCATTATATATTGAAGAAACTAACACTTTAAAAAAAACAATAGGTACTTTATACAAATATCGAAATACAATTGGTGAATATTTTGATGAGATTAATTATAAAACAGGAAGCGGTATTAACTTTTATAACTCGCCCCAACAATTACTAAAAAGACTTGAATTACTTAGTGGATCACTTGCTGCAGGAAACAATGGAGTATTGCGTGAATACATTCAAATCGTTCATCAACTAAAAAATATCGGGGTTTTAAATAATAACCAACTTAATAAACTATTAAAAAGCACTCCTTTGAATATATAATCATTAATTAAAAATGGAAGAACGAGCTATTCACATTTCTTCGATAAACAGGGAAAAAAGAGGAACAAGCAGACCTGGTGATTTTACAATAAAGTTTAATCCACCTCTAAAACTTGACCCTGAAATGAAACACCAACTTGCTCTTGATCGGCTGTCTATGACTTATTCTTGGTACAACATTAGAAGTGATTACGGCAACAATAAAATCAAATACACACATGATGGAACCAACTGGCAAACAATTACTTTTACAGATGGAATGTATTCCTACTCAGATATTAATGATTACATTCATCAATACATGGACCAAAAGTCTCATCACACAAAAGATTCGGGTGGAAAAAAGACTTATTCAATCAATCTAACTTTTGTGTTGTCTACCTATCGCGTGTTACTATCACTTAATGGCAATTATCAACTTGATCTAAGAGGAACAAAATTTGGAGACTTGATTGGATTTGAAAAGAAACTTATTACAAAAACAGAGTATGGAACAAAACTACCAAATATCACAAATTCGATTGATGTGTTAAATATCAACACAAGCGCAATAACTGATAGCATTGTAAATGGAATAAATACAAATACTATTGCTGTGATACCAACAGACAATCTAACAAGGTCTTATCCATTTACGTTTGAACCAAAAAGACCATTATATTGCTCTTTATCATCATTTAACATTGCTGAGATGAGAATATATGTCACGGACTCTCTTGGAAGACCAGTAAATTTTAATGGTATTGATTGGTTTATGACTTTGATACTTCACTCTATGTAGTGGGGGGGGTTGCATCCCCCCAAAACCCCCCTGCTGCTACGCGTGACTCGTTAATGAGGGAGGGGTATTTTGTATAACTATTAAAATAAAATGATGCGTCAATCAGAATTTAAAATGAGATTCGACCCTGAATTAGGAAGAAATACAAGACAACATATTTATGGAGAAGGAATGATGGATGTGTTTAAATCGTTTGGTAAAAAAATATTTGGAAAGACAATGAAAAAAGCTGCTAAAAAGGGTGCTGAAAAAGCATTGACAGCGGCTGCAACAAAAACTGGTGAACATGTTGGTAAAAAGGCTGGTGATAAGATAGTGCAAATGCTATCCAAAAACCCCCCTGCAAAAAAAGTTACTTTTAATGAAAATGTTAAAACAATAAATCCAAGTGAAAAAGAGTTAAATCAAACTTTAATTAACCTTCTTAGTGGAGGATCAACACGTAAGAGAAAATTATATAATTATTAAAATAAATGAAGTCTTTTAGAAATCCAAAATATTTAGAAAGATATGAGGATGTTGTTTATGACCTGGAACAGACTTTAGCATTACCTGCAAATAACGCTCGCCAAATTAAAACGGGTCTTAGATTTGTTACTGATAACACCGGAGAAACTACTCCTTTTGATTGGTATAACGCACGATTATCAATGGATTTTAAAGTAAATAAGATAGCTGGAACAGCTATTGCAGCTAATGACCATAACGGAATTGTAAATGGTAGTAGCGCATTTATAGAAAATTTAAGTATTCTAGCAAATGGCCGACAAGTTTATGATTGTAATTATGCAAATCATGTTGTAAACATTAAAAATTTGCTTGAGTATAATCCTTCATATGCTCAGAGTGTTGCTACAAACGAATTTTATTTTCTTGATACTTCAAGAGCTGCAGAGGAAAGACCTGCTCAAGCAACTTATAATAAAGGTTTTCATGCAAGAAAATTACAATTAGGTGCATCAGCCACAGTAAACTGTGAAATTCCTCTTAATAGATATTCTTTCTTTGAAGCATTGGAAGACAAATTACTCCCAAATACAAAAATTGAGCTAAATATCGAGATTGAAAAAGATGCAAATTTAATTTTTCAAGGAGCTGATGATTGTAGAGTTATTATAACAAGACTACAACTTTTTATTCCAAAACTTACGTTTAATTCAGAAGGACAAAAGTTGTACATGGAAAATTATCTTAAACCCTACAAATGGACATATTTGAATGAAGTAGTAGGGCGAGATAATGACACTCAACAGCAAACAGGGCAATTTAGAATTACAAATGGTATTTCAAAACCAAGGCATGTATTTGTTTTTGGAATTGATACGGCAAGAATTGATTCTCAAACGGCGAATCCATTTGTATACGATACTTTTGATCTGCCAAATAATGCTAATATATCAAGATGTTACCTGGAAGTTGCAAATGGAAACGAATACCCAGATATTCACTTTAAACCTTCTACAGATTTGTCAAGAGTTTTTAGAAATGTGATGTCATATGTTTATGCAAATAATGATTATCAAGGTGGAACATTACTTAATAGAAGTAATTTTAAAACTTTATTTCCTTTTGTTTATTTTGACCTGACAAAACAAAAAATGGATATCAAAGATGGAGTTACAAAATTGGCATTTCATTACGAGTTGTCTGCTAATCCAAACGCTAACTATAATTTTTACGCGCTAGTCTTACATGAAAGAATAGCAGAAATATCACAACAAGATGGAAAACTATTACTTCGAGCATAAACCCCCTTTTTTACGCAGCATATGATTTAATATATAAATAAAATAAAATGGTAAATCCTTTTGATATATATCCGCCTGTAACCTTAGAAAAATATCCTTTTTAAAAGAAAATAAATACTTTGAATATTCCATAAACTTAACTCCGTCACAAATAAAAGAATTTAGAAAAAACAATATTGTAACTTTAGACTTTACTTCTAATAAAGTACCTTTTAAAGTTTTTCTCACAAATGCCCAAATTAAAAAATTAGAAGTTGCAAAAAAATTTCAAAGAAAAGTTGATTTAAAATTTATTAAAACTCAGTTTAAAAAAACTTTGCCCTATGTTACTAGTTTAAATCGTTCTTTGATTAGGCAGTGGGGTAAAGATCAACTTGAGATTTTAAAAGCAGAAAGTAATGAAAAAGCAAAAACATTAAAGAATTTAAAACTGCAAACCCAACTTGAAAATTTAAAAGCAGAAAATATTGAAAAAGCAAAAACATTAAAGAAATTAAAACGTAAAAATGCTAATAAAGCTCAACAAGATGAAATTAGTTTTGATGATTTTATTAAAAATACAATGAAAAAATATAATAAAACTAAGCCTAAAAAAAAAAGAACTTTCAACAATAATTTAGGTAATCTTTTCACTAAAAATTTTATATAACCAATTAAATAAAAATGGCTAATTATTTTGAATATGGTGTAACACTTACAGATGGGCAAAAGTCAAAACTGGCTTCTGCAATATTAAATAAATCACCACTAACTCTTCGTTTAAAACATACTCATCTTCGAGGTTCTGATGAGTTAATGTTGACTAAAAGGCAAATTAATAAAATAGGAAAATCACTGAAAGATGGCACGGGATCAGATATAAAAATAAGTAAAACTCAGATTAGACACTTAGTAAAACGGGGTGGAAACTTATTTTCATCACTTGCTTCTCTCGGAGCAAGAGTACTACCATTTGCAATAAAAGGAATTTCAAAAGCTGTTCCTGCATTAGCAACTGGTGCTGCGACGGCTTTAGGAGAACTTGGAATAAATAAAATATTTGGAAAAGGAATTACAATTCCCCCAGAGTTTATCCCGATGTTGCCAGCTATTGTAAGAGAATTTACCAAATCACAAATAAATCAAATTAATAGAGCTTATCAAACAGGAGGTCGACTGGTTATAAAACCAACTCGTAAACAGATAGAAGGAGGATTTTTAGGCACTCTTGCTTCTATTGGAATTCCAATTGCAGTTAGTCTGGTATAAAAGATGTTTGGTGGAGGACTTCAGGTTGATAGACGAGGGCCATCTAGTAATACAAGAAAGTAGTCATAGAGGCTACACTAGGTCCTGACCAATCAGAGCGCAGCAGATTTGGTCTCGACCAATCAGAATCGCGCATTTGGCCCATGTGACTTTTTGACGTCACAAATCAAGGTTTTAACCCACGTGACCCCCTAGGAATAAAGAACACGCACACACAAGAGTTGAATCTGCATTCTTCACATAGTTTTAATGACCGCGTAAAGCCCTGGATACAAGTGGGACGTGTGTGACGCCCTAGTGACATCACGCCCATTACAAATCTAATAGCAAATCGAGTTCGTCCCCAATCCTCTGGTAACCGTAGGGATAACTGGATCGGGTGGCGACCTCGATGACGCGCTTGTCAAACACCAACCCATACTGCTTCACGCGCGGAACCACTTGAATTTGTTTCTGTTCCAAATCTCGTTTGAAATAATAAGGGTTGGTCAGGTTCAAATTGCGACGAGACTCTTGGGGTGAATCCAATTCGGAGAGAATGTTGTCTTTCATGGTCTGAAAATTGAGAATGGCGGATCCACGGACGTTCAGGGTGAAACCGCGTACTTTGCATACCACTTTGCCCTGTCGTGTCGTGTACCCATAATTCTTGGCGCCCCCCGAAACAAACTCGGTGATGACGTCGCCATCTAATTCATCGGTCATGTCCCCGAGAAAATCTCCGGTAGCAATACTGGGTTGACCGGGCCGCCATTTGTATACCACACTATCAGTGTCGTAGTAAAGGACTTGCTGTTGCAAGGTATCCAGAGACTCGTAGAGCTTTAATCGAGCATAACAGGTGGTGAAAGCAGCCACAAAAATGTTGGTCTTGGTGCCTTTGACAGCATTGTCTTGGACACTGGTGTAGACCGCTTCCAAAATGTCGTCCGTGCAAAGGCGGAGCGTGCTGAGATCGAGGGAAGCGTCAGAGATGAGACCGAACAAATGGGCAGGGTCTTTGACAGTGACGGTGGTAGGTTTGTTGATTCGCTCCCCGAATTTGCCCCAGAAGCTGTTCAACATGAGCTTGGCCGTGGCTTTGCGGCCTGGATTTTTGGCAATATTGGCAATGTCCAGTCGAATGCCTTCCTGTTCCTGGTAACGAAGAATGTAGTTGCGTTTTTGCTCGAGGGTCTGACACCAACCGGGCCATCCTGCGGATTCTTGTTTCAACTTGAGCCACGTGTTCACGTAATCGGCAAAAAGACCCGTTCGGCGTTGCTCAGGGGGAAAATGCCAGACTTCGTGAATCTTGATCAGCGTGTACCCCTTTTCGACCGCTTTGACCAATTCGGGTGTGCACCAGGTACCGCGTAGTGTGCGATCCGCATCAGAATGAGGGCAATAACGGGTTCGGGTCAACATGGGTTGGGCCTGCTCGGTCTGAACACAGGCACGGCAGAGAGGGAAAGTCAGTTTGTGGCCGCTACGCACGGGCAGAACAGGATGGAACAAACCAGCGGGGGGAAGAATGTCGACAGTAGCTAGACCAAAATAGGAGTCCAGGGACTGATCGGCAGGCTGCGTGATGATCCGTGGATGTCCGATGGGATAGGGACAGTTCTTGTTCACCCACGGGTACAGGGAGGTCACATCCACATAGCGTATTTCCTCCCCTTCTCCAACTACAGCATGTAGAGCTACGGCACCCGTTCGACCTCCAAAGAAGGCTTCACGGGGTTCTAGGGGTGCCACCAAATCGAAGGAATTCAGGAAATGTTGGACGGCTTCATCCGTGTCCACTAGTCGGTCCCATTCACATTCCCACATTTCGATGACGGTATAACCCGCTCGGAGCAAGGCCGTGCGTTTGGAGAGCGTGGCTTGATAGAGTTCCTCTACAGTTCGATCCGGCGTGGCATAATGTTTGGCGTTTCTTGCGGGATAACAGCGGGGACAGCCGTGATAGAGACATCCGTGGAACTCATAGATGGTGCGAGTTACAGGATCGTAGCCATCGACGAAATGACTGTCGACACTGGTTCGGACCGACTGTTCGCCCCCATTACGAACATGACGAATGCGGTCAGCACTGGCCCCCTCTTTGGGAAGGAGGTGTTCTTGGTAATAGAGCCATTGTAGGGCTTTGAGGGAATGGTTGACTTGGGCCCCTCGCCACCCTCCGAGAGGTTCCACGGCAATGGTGTCGGGGGTCAAATGATGCTTGCGCCAATACAAATTGCAAGCACTGGCAATGGTGATACACTTGGCCATAGGATTGAAGCCCGCCTGTTGTTCGAATTCTTGTTGAAAGGCTTCACACCCCGCTTTCAATAGAGCCACATCGGATTTGCAATAATCAATCATTTCTTGTTGGAAATGGAAGGGCACGTTCCGACGGACTTGATCAGCGTGCCAACGAGTCAGTTCCTCTTTCTTTTTGGCCATCATACCCTCAGGATCGTAAAATTCCAAATCAGGGATGCGACCCACATACTGCTGGTGATCGGGGGTATTGAACAAATGGGGAAAGAAGCCCTTCTTTAATTCGGTCAAATTAAAGGTACTGGAAAAGGAAGCCAACGGCATAGGCAAGAAACACAACGAGTCAATGAATTTGAGGGGTCCACTTCTGAACGATAAGACTTTGGCGCCCACGGTCAGTTGATCCACGACCTCGCGTTGTTGCTGGTAGAGTTCATAGAGAATAAACATACCATCAAACCCTTTCAAATTATGAAACACCACGAGAATCTCCCGCTCGCCCTCACAGTCTGGAACATCCGTGAGATCATCCAAATCGCGCAAAAATTGGAGGGCACAGTCCTCCCCGTCCAACACATGGATGGTGGTTTCGGCACTCGATGAATAACATAACAAATTAGCTACAAACACCCCTTCTGCATTTTGCATGGCTTCAAAATCTGCGTAAACAAACAGGGGAGGGGGTGGCGCCACCATGCGACCTCCCCCCTCCTCTGTCGGTTCAGTCTCCTCATGCTCATCCTCCACAGGCTGAATGTAACATTGATGGTTTTGGATGGACACCCATTCCTGACACGCGGGACATTTGGCGTACCCGCACCGGTGACGTTGGTTGCGGACGACCGTGTATTGGGCTTGACATTTGAGACAGGTTTTGATGGATTGACATTGTTTGCTGATTTCATGATAACGTTTGCATTGATGGCCATAAAACTTGCGGTGACATAGACTACAATACTCAGTGGGGCGGGTGCCGCGCACATAATCCGGACAATCAAAGCGTCCACAGGCAGAGCAGCGTCTCCCTTGACAAGTGTGATGGGATCGATCGTTAGTGTTGAACCCCCGTTCACAGTCCAGGCAATAATAAGAGCGGTTGACAAAGGCGGGAAAGGACGTGCAGCCATCAAAATGATCGTTGGATTTGAGTAAACGAATCTGATGAGGGGCAGTGGGCCCTTTGAAAATCAAAAAGAACGGTTTCATCCGGGTCATCACCAAGAGTTGATAGTGAGATCCCAACGCGTGTTGAAATTGACAAAGCTCGGGTATACCACAGGGACCCTCCGCGACTCCCGCTTGCTGATGGAGGGCCTGGGCTTGACGTTGCTGCACAGGTCGACCACGTTTGAGATTGTCCCAGTCGCGAAACCCGTCCACGCCTTGATCTTTATGGCAATGAGCACGCATGGTGACAATGGCACGGGCACAGCATAGGGTATCTCTGTTTTTGATGGGGATGATGCATTGCTTTTTTTTGTTGACTCGATCCAAGCATAAACGTCCCACATTGCGTTGTTTATGTCGACCAGACCCCGGGCCGGGCATGGAGACAAACACGACATCCACTTGGAACCCGCGATCGGGGTTGAAGGCTTCATTGCTATTCAACTTGCCAGCTAGGGTAGCTAACATCTCATCCAAACGAGCCGTACGTTGTAAAAATTCTCCCACAGTAAAATTGGCGGTTTGATAGGCGTGAGTGAACCCATGCGCTGTGATGGCAAAGTTCACAAAATGATGGGCAGGTCGTTGCTCGCGGTCGAGTTCTGTTTCAATGGCTTGGTGTAAGGCTTCCGTGAGGGCCATCCCAATATTATCTCCGGGACCAGCATCCCGCAATTGACGCAATTGCGCATTGAATTGCGCGCGTTCCACTACATTCCGCCAGCGGCGTCGTCGACCAATAGGTTGCATCATAAATTGGAAGAGAGGGCCTCGAGCGGGAACGGCTCCGCCCAACTGTTCCCACCGGTCATAAGCGCGGTTTAATAGAGCTTCTTCTTCTTCTTCATCACTGTCAGGATACCAGTGGTCCTCCGCCATGACGGAGGAGGCAATTTGAATGTTCCCGCGCCAGACGCGGACTTTTATAGACCTAAAAACACGTGATCAGATGAACAGGGATTGGTGGATGGGGCTCAGGTGAGAGTCAGGTGAGGGTCAGGTGAGGGGTTGAATAGACAGGAGGAGGAGGATTGAGGGGGGTGCCCCCCATGGGTACAGAATTTTCCAGTCTCCTCTGAGCCTGGACCGAGAGCGGTGATTGGCGGAAAGAGGGCTAGATATAAGCCAACGTTCAGACCAGACGTCAGTTGCGTTCGAGACATGCCGAAAGATCCAGAGAAAGTGAAAGAAGCTAAGAAGCGGTGGTACCTCAAGCATAGAGAGAGGATTGTGGCACAGAAACGGGAGAAGCGGGTGGCTCAAAAAAAACTCAAACCGCCCAAGCCACCCAAACCACCTCCGACCCAGGAACAGTTGGCCAAAGCCCGAGAATTGAACCGGTTGGCCTGTAACCGGTATCGAGCCACGCACGGAGACCAGGTACGGGCTTTGAACCGTCAATATTATCATCGACACCGCGACCGGCTTATCCAGCAGCAGCGGGACCGTCGTGCCCAGAACAGACAGACGCCCAGTCCCTTTAGAAAATTGCGGGCCTTGGCAGACGTGTGTGCTTCGCGTGTATTAGAGCTGGATCATGGATACGCCAGGATCGCGCCAGCCCCCCAAACCCAGGAAAAAACGGGACCCTGTGAAAAACAAAATCCAGCAAAAAGCGTATCGGCAACGCTTGTATGCCAAACCCAACGGCATAGAGGATGTCAAGGCCCTTCACCGTCGCCGCTACCATGAACGCATGGCTCGGTTGAAAGCCAATGGCGAGTATGAGGCTTTTAAGGCCAAAAAGACCCAAGAGGGCATGCAACGGTATTATGGCATGACTGAGGAAAAACGAGAGGTGACCAAACGCAAAAACGCCCAGTGTCAGAGAAACTGGCGGGAGAAAATGAAAGAGCGAGGGACCTACCAGGCTTATCTGCAACGGACCAATGCCCATCGACGAGAGCAGGCCGCCCAGAAAAGAAAAGAGTTGGGCGAGGAAGGGTGGAAAGCATTGCAAAAACAGAGGTACAACAAGCGAATGGAAGCCATTCGACATCGAGAATGGTCCTGGTTGGACGAGGCATTAGAGCGTCCCTTTCCCCTCCCGTGGTTGCCATTGGACTTGCCCCTCATGGTACCTAATGAGGACAGTGTGCAAACCCATCGCGCAGAGGCCTTACAAAAAATGGACTCGTATTTGTAAGAACAAAAAGTTTAATTAAATCATGTGTATTGTGCTATTGAACATGGTGTCTTGTTTTTTATGACTAAAGGGGGTTTACATACCGAATCGAAGTTTAGCTTTCATAATGCGTCTCACAATACGCTCTGTTAAGTTTTTACTACCAGGGAGTTGATCAATCTTGGCAATCATCTTGCGATCCGCTGCCCATTTGTCTTTCAACGTCTTGGCTTTATCATAATCCATGTCATGGGCTTTGGCAATCCTGTCCAACCGGTTGATGCCGGGATCCCCACGGGCCAATCGTTTCTTTAAATGAGTGCCAGGGCCCATGTACTGATAACCAGGCCAATGAAATTCAATACCGGTCTTGTTAAGGAGGTTTTGCACATCAAATAACTTGCCGCCCCGTTGCGAGCGTCGTCGTCGTCGCTTGGCTCGGGAACGGGAGGCCGCAGCACGGCGTTTGCGTCCCATCTTAGGGGGTTTTCCACGATTTCCAATCCAAGGCTTTCTTGGCCCAACCAGCGGCTTTCTTTTTGGCGACCCCCGCAGCTTTCTTTTTAGCACTGTCCGCGGCTCTTTTACGAATCCCGCGCTTGAATGATTGCGTAATGGTGTCTGCACGTTCTTTGGGGGTTTCCCACGGGGCTGTTCCAGGCGCCTCGGAAAAGGGCAACTCTTCCGCCAATTCTTCACTGCTCAACGGGGTCGTAAACTTGAGTTTCTTTTTGGCACTAGGGGTGAACCTTGGTTTAGGCGGGACAAGGGGTTTTCTGGGTCCACCAGTGGGGGTGCCTTGTTTTATACCCTGGGTGGCCTTGACCAATTGCGTAAACCAGGCTTGCATGGGACCCGCTTCAAAATCATCGTCGCCCGGCGTCGTGGCCCCGGCAGCAGTCACACCCCCAGCAGCAGCTCCAAACGGTTGGCGCACTTTTTTAGTCCAATGGCGTAATTGACGACTAACGGCTTTGAGTTGAGGCCGTTTCCAGGCATCGGGGGCATCACTGGTCAAGAGGACATGTTGTTTGGCGGCTAAATCGGCGGCTTTGGTCAAGCGAGTGTCTTCCACCAATTCTTGTTTGTACTGGTCTCGTAATTGTAAAAAAGCCGGGGCGTTGTTCACCGTGGTGCTCACCATCTCGGGTTCCATGGTGCAACTGAGGGGTCTTGTCTAGCGCATGCAACGTTTATAACATCGGTAGAGTTCCGGCCAAAGGGCACCCCCTTTTTGAGCCATCATGATAGCGCGTCGGCGTTTGACGGAATGAGCGGGTTTAGCCATGGCGCGTAAACTCTGAGCGTGAGGTTTAAGCAATGTAATGGTCTGTCGGGAACGGGGCACCGTGCCACGCAGCGTGTTCATCACCAATTCACTGACAGCATTGATCTGATCCGCATTGGCCATCCGCAACAATTCTTGTCGTTTGTGTTGATTGGCTTCTCGTAAGACACTTTTTAAGAACGGGGCTTGACGTTCCATGCGCCACCCCATGATGAATCTTGAGTTCAGGCAGGGACCAAGGTCTATTTATGGTAAAAATGGCGCCACACCGACCACACAATTCACCATGATAATGCGTTTGCATGTGATGTCGACACCGGGCACACAAAGCGGCGTCATACTGGTCATCCCAATCCAACGCAAACGTGACGGCTTTGCGTTTTGGGCGTCGTTTAGTCTGGGCGTCGTAGTCGGATTCTGGGTTTGAATTTCCGGAGATACAAAGGCGAGAGAGCCATTGCCAAAAGCGGGAGTTTAGCACCGCGTTGGCGTCCACGTCGGCGGCGTCGTATTCGAGGGACATAACGATGTCGGCGACCGTTGGGTCCACGAACCATTCTTCAATGAGAATCGTGTGTCCCACCCAGCGTTTCTTTTATAGCCTTTTCAGCGTTTCGAACCAGCCCAACCCGGCATTCGATTGAACATCCGCTGGACTCGTCGTTGGGCCAGTCGTTGATTGGCGGCACTCATCTTGCCCACTTTCTTTTTCTTTTTCTTCTTCATGAGGACGGCGGCAGCCACCGCTGCGGGGATGAGAAACGGGAGAATACCCCCGCGTTGCTTTCGGCGTCGTTTTCGTCGTCGTGGACCACAATGCATAATGATGATCTGTCCGAAGGAGGACACCCCTTGAGTCTTTTATAGTTTTTTTACATAATGGAACAATTAAAGGATTCCCCCGCATATTTTTTCCGTTTGCCTGAAGCCACTTCCCGTCGACGTTTTTCACCAATTTTGATGGCACGCTTGGTTTGATGCTCCCCGATGGCTTTGGTACCAGCATAACCGGCTTTGAGAATGCCTAGGGGCAGGCCAGGCGCGACACCTCCTACTTGACTATAGGTCACACGCCGCGGTCGACGTCGTGTCGTCCTGCGTTTGCGTTTTCGTCCCATGACGACTCGTTTGGAGAGCGGAGCACCGCAAGTCTCTTTTTATACATGTCACATCAAGCTGCACCCACCCACTTTTTTGGCATACCCCTTCTTGACCAACCACTTGTTGTACGAGTCCTTAGTACCACTCGCGCGATACTGGCGTTTATAGTTGGCCACCCGTTGTTTGTCGGCCTTGACGTCGGCTTTGGACGGAATCTTCCACATAGCCGGGTCTGTCAACAACTTGAAGCCTTTTTTGACATCCACGACAAACGGTGCCTTCCCACCCTTGATCCTCCGTCGACGTGGTCGTCGTCGTGTCGTCCTGCGTTGGCGTTTGCGTCCCATCGCGTATCGACAACGGCCACACATTTTTGGGACAGGGGAAGAAAGGTCCCTGTTTTTATATACTACGACCTCGTCCACGGGCTCGGCCACGGCCCCGTCCTCGGCGGGGTGGTCTGGGTGGACTTGGGCTGGAGGTTCGGGTGGATGTGCGGCGCACCGAGGGACGACCCCCCTCTTCATACACGGTCGTCACCGTATTAGTGTGCGTGATGTTGCGAATCCGTCGACCTCGTGCCCGTTCTTGAGCATCTTCATTGAGCAAATCCAACCGTCGCCTTAAGCCTCGCCGTCGATCGTCATCATCATCATCGCCATCCTCGTCATCGGACGGAGGGGACGAACCGGGGACGGTGGGGAGGGCACCCTGGGGCGCCGTCGCGGTTGTTTGGCGGCGATGGTGGGGCGTCCCGTGGGGGTCGTTGTCGTCGAGGTGGTGGTCCTGGTCCCTGCCCCAACACTGCGGCGGGAGGTGGAGGGGCGGGCAGGGGCGGTGGTGGTCGTAGCCGTGGTGGTAGGGCGTGTTCGGGTGGACGTGACGGGTCGTGGTCGGCTGGTGGTGGTGGTCGTGGGGCGGGTTGGGGCTGCCGTGGTGGTGGTGGTGGTGGCAGTGGTGACAGGGGCTGTACCAGTGCCTGCCACGGGCGGGAGTGTGAAGGCATTCAAGGCATCGTCTACATTGACCGGGTAGGTCAAATTGAAATTGTCAATGTCTTGCTGCAATTGGGCACGATCCACGGGTCGAGACAATTCGGTCACCATGTCCGTCATGCTGCTGAGATCTCGGAGGACCGACGGGGAACCTACCCCCGCGGGCGTGTGAGCGTCCATGCGAGCAGCTAACTCAGTATGTTGTCCGCCTTCTCTTTGCCGCCGTTGACGTTCGCGTTCTCGTAGCAGCGCGTTTTCGATCGGCAGGGACATCCGCCCGCAAGGTGTGGACTTGGGCTTTGCCTTCTCGGGGCGTTAAATGGCTCCACAAACGGTAGCGATCATCCGACGCTGGATGTACATCCAACATTAAATAGCCAAACGGACGGGCCGTGATGCGTTTAAATAGGCGCAAGACTTGACGCCACCGATCTGGAAAGGCTTGCAATAAAATCGTCCGTATCCCTGTTTGATCCCGAGGGTTTTTGAAGGCCACAATGTAATGCGCGTTGCGATTAATGGTCTTGGAAAATTTGCCCGGCGGGAATAAATCTTGCGTCAAATACAACACCGTGATGTTGCGATGATGCGAATCTTTGGTGAACAAATCCAACACGCGCTTGTCTTGTCCCCCTTCTTCCATCAGGTCGTCCAAGACCAGCACCCCGCCACGCGTTCGACCAAACCATTGCGTCAAATGACGAGGGTCCGGTAACCCGCGATAAAATTGAATCCCATCCTTTTGTTGCATCCGCTCGAATCGGGGTTGCCAACGATCATAGGCATACACAATCTTACGGGGTTTGACTTGAAACACGTTCAGGTACCGTAACCATTGTTCCACCAAATCCGTCTTGCCACTACCTGAGGGGCCTGCGATAATCACACTGCTGGGTTGTCGGATCATGATTCCCACGGTCGAGGGTGACGTCGATAATGACCCGTGGCTCCTTTAGCACCCATGCGTTTATACCGTTTGTCGCGTCCCAATTTATCCCCGATTTTATAGGCTTTGGCCAACACGCTCATGATGCCTCGTCCGTTTTGGCGAAAGTAGGGTCGTCGGGTGCCCTGTCGTCGTCGTCGTTGCCGTCGTCTGCGGTGGGGCATGCTGTCCAATACTCGCGATACACACGTGGCGATTCAGACTGGATCAGACCTTCCATGATCTCTCTTAAATACGTTTCGCTCATACTGTCCATATACTGTTTGAGGGACACCCAATCTTGGTCTTGCGCCAATTGTCGGGCCATGAGCCAATGATACCCATCCCACGCGTCAATCCCTCGCACTGTGTTGACCCGTTCGATGGGGTGTTCCCACCAATACAAGGTTTCTTCGAGAATGAACGCATCCACAATACGCTGGACATCGCTTCGCGTAATCATCATGAGAGACAAATGACCACTCGTGGACCACACATTTCGTTTTATGGGTTTTTTATTAACATGCACAAGGATGACACGTGATAAAGGCCTGACGGCTTACATTCTTTTGCCCCCCATCCCGTCGGGCATCGACTTCATCTTGTAATTCCTGTTTAATCACTCGTTTCAACTGGTCGGCCACTTTTTGATCATTCAACACTAAATTGTCGCAACTCCATTGACTCAAAAATTCTTGATAGGACCGTCCTTGTGCCCGGGCTTTCAAGAAAAATAATGCATAATGGCCACAGGTTTGACTATCCAGGGCTTGCAGGGTCTGGTCACTGCGCGTCAGGTACTTCCATTGACCCCACCATTGGTGCAACTCCGGGGTGGTGTACACGTGCAGGGGTAGACCATAACTGTCAAAGATCTCGCACTGGTTCTTTTCGGTCCACAGGCCCAACCAATGCTGGCCCGGTTCTCCCGCGGGGTCCGTGTTGACAATGTAGGCTTGACGGATCTCCTTGGCGGGGGATCGGGGGAGTTGGTCGGCGGGATGCACCCCATGAAACACGCGTCGTAATTCGGGGTCTTCCAAGGCCAGGGTCCGCAACACAGCATCACTGAGTGCCACAAACTCCATGCTCGGTGTCTTTTTGACTTCTGATTTCTCAGCCGTTGATGTTGTACTTTATACCTCCCAGATGGTTGATCTCATACATGTTTTCATACTCGCTCCATACCATGACGGTGACGTTGTGTCCCACAGCCGCCGAAAAATCAATGATCAATCGCGTATTGCCCGATTGACGGGGGTTGCGATATTCAGGGTCATCGGCTTTTTGACTAGGCACATTGTTGAACATGAACAAGGTACAATTCTTGCCTTGTCCCCAATCACCAGGCAGCAGCATGGGAATCTTGTGTTCACTGTGAACACCCATGGCTTGTAGAAATCGATCGTAGCCCAGCAAATCTTCATAGGCTTGGTCTCCTGTCAATTGCAGGGTTCTGTAAGGGTATTCTTCTCCATTCAAGGTCTGTCGTACTTGGGTGACCCCAAACTTTTGAAAGGCAAAAGGGTATCTTTCTAGGTCTCCATTGAAGGCATCCGAATGCAATAATCCGACCATCACTCGATCAGGAAATCGTCCCACAAACACATTGTCTTGTTCCCATTGGGTGGTGCGTCCATCAAAGGAAAAGGTGCGAATTTCACTCCGCACCACAGGGTAGCGGGCAATCTGTTTGTTCAGTTGTCTTTCTTTTTGCAGTCTGACATAGACAGCAGCATTCAGGGTCACTTTTCTCATCAACAAGGTGACTTTGATGTCATCATTGTGGATGGCTGGAATTTTCTTGGTGGTCAAGGTGCCTTTGTTGGGGGAGCCCATCAGGTAGATGGTCTTGGGGTTCAGGAACAGTTCAAAGTCCAACTGGATATTGGGGACCAACAATTTGCCTGTATGGAGGGTGGGCAAATGGGGACGCACGATGAAGGTGTGCCAATTTTCACCCAGTAACTTGCTGGTCAGGGCACGTAACTCTGCATTGCCACTCCAATTGGCAGCCACAGGGACATCGGAATTGGCGGCGGTGGCTCCTATTTCTTCTGCTACATTCAGCTGATTGACCCATCCTTGGGGAGCTAGCTTGGTGGCTCCTTCTTCTCGGTTGTAATTCAGCAGGGTTTCTATGTAGGCTCTGTAATGGTAAGTGTTGCTCTGTTCGGTCACAAGGACGCCATTCATGCTCATGGTAATGTCTCGAAAGATGGATTGCCCAAAATTGTTGACGCAGTAAACATGTCTAGTTTCGTTGGCATTGGAAATGAGTAGACCCGCATCCAGTCCTGTATACCCGGCGGCGGGATCGGTCAAACGCACTTTGACTTTGAAGCGGAGAGAATTGAGATCGTAATAATCGTCAGAGCCTGGAATGGAGAAAGTGATGGGCTGGATGCCTGTCAAAGCGGGTTGAAACTCCACCTCCCGCGAGGCTTCGTACCGATAATCCACATCAGGCACGTCAAACAGTTCGAGCGACATGGTGCGATCTGTCCACGAGGTTCAACGACGTCCTCTTTTTATACCTTTTCGTTGCTTCCTGGCTTTGGCTTGGTTGGCCCACAACACTGTTCGGAGATCCCCCTTGCCCAACGCCCCAAGAATCTTGCCCCCTTTCATGCGGCGCAGGGCCTGTTCCACCCTCCATGGAGCAGGGTTGATCCGATCGGCGGCTGTGGGGAACCCCAAAGGATTTTGGCGCCTACGAGTGAACTTGCCAAAAATCGTGCCCCCTTTCATCCTGCGCTGTAGGTAACGATCCAATTGGCGGGAGGACGTGTGCATCAGCGGATAACGCGCTGTCGTCGACTTGCCAAAGATCGTGCCTCCCACTTGATACGGTGAAATAAACCGTCCACGGGCCCGTTGCCGTCGAACGCGATTTTGCGATTTGAGAAAACCTCCTACACGTACCATTGTTTTCACAGTCCAAAGATATCCCGTACACGTTGCGTGGCTCTTTTATAGGTATTTTGAGCGGTCCGTTTGACCTTGTGTTTGCCCGCCGTCCAGGCCATGGCGGGGGCTTTGCGTTTCAAGCCGCGGCTGAGTTGGGCACTTCGATCCGCCCAGGTGGCTGCAGCACTCTTGCCACGTTGAATATCTTGCAGTCCCGCTTGAGCTTGCTGCACGATCAAGGGTCCCGCCAATTTGATCAAGTCTTCGGCCAAGCCTTTGCCCTCTTGCTTGGTGAGCACGGGCGTGTGGTACCGCGTTAAACTGCCTCCGCGCATGATTCACGTCGTGTTTTGGACCTGCCAGAGACGTGGAGTGGCTTTTTATAGCTGTTTGAGACCAATGGTCACCAGGGTTTTGCCCGGGGGTAAGATGGCTAGGGGTCCACTGGTACTGGCAATCTCCACTTCCAAGATATCCAATTGATTTCCTCGTAGTTTGATCCATTGGTGGTGCAAGGGTTCCGCCGTACTTTCTCCTTCCCCTGTTCTCAACAATTGCACTTCCCGTAACAGGGGATACTTGCCACTGCCCACCACGGTGGATTCCACCAGGTCTGAGTACACCATCACGGTGCGTTTGCTGGTGCCCACAATCTTTTCAAACGAAGCATCCAGGTTGTTGAACTGCCATTCTACCATCCTGGACAGATAAAGCCGTTTTCCGTTTACCTCGAACATTTGATCCATATTGTCATCGGTCAAATCCTTGGGTTGCATCCCGACATAATGATCTCCATTCCAATTGAACTCTGCGCGAGCGGAGGGGTAGGTAGTGTGGATTGGCTGGGTTTGGCTCGTGTAGGTCACGGTAGGGCAAGTGAATTGGAGATTGGGCCCCAACACATACCCCACATCCACCCCTGCGGGTTTTTCAACAAAGCCAAACCTTTTTGCTATCTCCAGATCCATCATGAAGGCACTCGTGACTTTGGTCTTGTTGTTATTCATCAAGTCTCCTTTAGACACAGCATGCAGCACCAAGGCATCGCCTTTCCAGCTCATCATAGGCATCCAGTTTTTTTTCACACTGACTATGGGAAATTCATCACCATGATAGCTATTGGCAGATTCTTGTTGGTTGATCAATGCCTGCATGACCTTGTTGTGCACTTCTTGCATCACGCGTTTCCAAAACTCACTGCCGGTGGTCACAGACTGTTTGGCACTCATGATTTCTTCCAATTCCACTCCATAATCCTTTTTCTTGATTTCGACCTGTCTGTACACCCCAGATATCCATTTGCGCGTCAAAAACGTGACGCTTATTTTGACGACTTTGGTGTGAGGATCCGTGGCAATGACGGCATTGCTCTGGCCTTGATCTGGCACGGTCAGGGACATGAGCGAGGCGTGCCAGCCTGTGCCTGGTAAGTCCAGGCGTTCGGGCAGACGGACCTTGAAACTGTTGTTGGCATTGTTGGGAAACTCGTCGGTCGGATCGCTGAGGAGCGTCAAGCGTTTAATCTCACTCATCATGAAAAAAGAGGCACGTCTACTAGGGTGCAGGGTCCTTTTATAGCCACGTCGCCACTTTCTGTTTACTGCGAGGGACGCGTCCCACCACTGAATTGAAGGTCGATTGTTTAGGATGAAAACATACTTGCTGGGCAATGTTGGGAAACGCCCGGGCCAGTTCCATCAGGGTCATGCAGGTCTTGGGTTTAGGGGGTTTCTTCTTGCGCATGGGGGGATGCCGTCCAGCGCGTCGGCGTTTTTTCTTGGGTGGGGACCGTAGAGCCCCTCGTTGCTTGGCATACTCCTCCGCTCGATGGTAAGCATTGGCATAGGCCCATTGCTGTTTGGTGGGACTGGCCAACTTGTCCCACCACGGTTGGGTTTGCCGTTGTTCGGCGGCTTTCTTCTGGATGAATTTCAGGACGTCCGCGTCACTGGTGGGCGAGGGCGTGTAACTAGCTCGCGGTCGACTAGAATCCGCCTGGACTTCATCGAGAAACCGCACCCGTTTTTTTCTTTTTCGAGGCGTTATTTTGACGCGGACCATGTTGCGCGGGAATCCAACTATCGTACTTGGCCGGCCACCCTTTCCACCGGACCAAG